TACCAGGCATGCCCGAGATGATGACGTGCGGCATGTTTCCCTCCTTTGCAATGATCTTTAGGCGATCAATCGTCTCGGTATTTCCGACAACATCGTCAAGGAAGACTGGGCGGTACTTTTCGACCCTGAAGCACGCATATTAGCAGCTGGGTCGGAAAGCTGGGGGAAGTCTACAGTGACTGACCAGGGAAGCTCATAATTAGGAACGCCGTTTGACGCCGCAGTCAATGCCTTCTTGGCTGCGGACGTCGAAGACTCGCCAGCCTCCTCTGGCTTCGTGATCTGCTTCTGAGCGGGCATGGCGGCTGTTTCCTTTGGCTGGGATGTTGGGGGATGCAGATAGCAGATCGTCAGGTTGCTGGAGTTCTGTGCGGGCAGTGGGCAGAAGCACTTTACGCGATGCTCATCGAAAAGACGCGTCGGGTGCGGAACGCGCTAAACTTCTCTGGGTCCACCCTTGTCTTCCCTGCCTGGTCTCCAGCACTCAACCTGACCGACATCTCACAAACACCACTTGTCAGTCCTGAAAGTTTCCCCTCCCGACCTTCAATACGTAGACATGATTACAGTGTGTAGTCACGATTTTGTCGCATCACGAACCCTTTTAACCTATCTTCTCCAAAAAGTACTCGAAACATAAAGGCATTCAACTTTTTTTCATTGCATTTTGTTCATCCAAGGTATCTAGTCATCGTCTTCATCGGCCTTCTTCTTACCCTTCCTGGTCTTCGCACCTCCCTTAAAGTGCTTCTTTCCGGACGACAGCTTCACGTCTTTGGGGTCAACTCCGCTCTCCAGAGCAATCATCGCTCTTGCCTTTCTTCCACTCAAGTGCTTCTGCCCCTGCTCCGTGTACTTGTGGCTGAAGGGCATCTTGGTGTGACCGCCACTGCTGTTGGGGCCAAAGAAACCCTTGTCGATCTGCTTGGACTTAGGACCAGCCGGCAGAGCTGCGAGGTCTGAGGGAGCTATCGAAATATCGTCGTCCATAATGGACATGGTGTCCATAGACGTGCTGAGGGCTCGACGGCGCTTCTCCGGGAGATGCGTCTCGTCATAGAGCTCTGCGTTGAACTCTGGGCCCTCAACTGTTCCTGGTGGCGGCTCACAGTACAGGAGCTTTCCGGCAACGTAATCTTTGAGGATGTAACGAGATGCTCTTGACTCGTCAGGCTGGCCCAATCCTTGGGTCTGGAAACCTCTAGCTCTGGCATATGCGCGGAGCAACTCCGGAGCCGTAGGAGTGCCTGTGCCTCCCTCTTCGATAGCGCGGGTCTTGATCTTGATCCCGTAGACGGCTTCCAAGAAGGACTTGGGTATCCTCCTGGTGACCAAGCCAGCCGGTCCTTGGAACTCTCGCAGTTGATCAATAGGCAACACACCGTTGCAGACCAGGTCGGCTTTCGTGTTTGCGAAGTTGGGGTAGACCAAACCAGGGCAATCGCACAGGACAACATTGTCGCTGAGGTGAATTGTCTGGAAGTGCTTGGTCTTTCCTGGTGTTGACGAAACTGACACCTTCTTGGCACCAATCAAGGCGTTGATGGTGGAAGACTTTCCGACGTTAGGGTATCCGACAAGACCAATCTGCAGCTTGTGGCCAGGCTCTGTTCATCCACCGTCAGTATCCAATCCAAATCACGTTTTGGGGGGGGGGGGGGTCGGGGGTCGTCATACCTGCGTTCTCGGGAGCATGGCTGAGGAAGATTCCCTCCAGCTCCTCCACCGTAAGAATTCTCGTATCTTCGTCATCAACGTCAGCCTCAGCCTCCGGCTGCGAAATCTCGGGCTGAGCGGTCTCTGCGCCGCCGTCCTCTTTGTCGTCCTTCTCTTCCTCATTTTCATCCTCCTCTGAGCTCTCCTCCTTGGCGGATGCGGCATCCTTCGTGGCAGCGTTGGAGCTGCTGCCAGCCTCAGGTTCTTCCTCCTCTGACTCGTCGTCGCTCTCCATGGCCTCAAGCAGTTCTTTCGCAAGATGCGCAGAGAAGAATCTGTACGCAATGCCGTTCTCCTTCAGGTACTTTGCCCACATCTTGCGCTGCTTCAGTGTGAGCATGTCGGCCTTGTTGATCAGCAGCAGGTTCTCCTTCTTCGAGTCGATATCTTTGACGTAGTGCTCCAAATCCTCGGATCTGAAAAGCAAGGGGTTCCTAGCATCGACGATCTGAACAATCAAGTCTGATCGTTCAATGACACGCCAAAGCTGCCTCCACACCTCAAGGTTACGCTCGAACGGCGTCATGAGTAGATCGTTGTTCTCCTGAAGTTCGGCGAGGCCTCGTCTCCAGTCAAGGAAACTTTCCCTCTCCCGTCTGTCCAGCTCCTCCGGTGTGGTGGACGCATCCCACTTTGGTCTTCTTGGCACTGTCAAGCGTCCTCTGTGGGCCTTCTGCTTGCCAATGATGGCCCTTTCCTCTGCTCCAGAAAGAAGATACGGGTTCTTTTGGTCGGTGTGGATGATCTTGACGTTATTCATTTTCTCCGCCGTAAAATCCGTGCCCGCCAGCTCTGCGGTCGCGAGGAACTCGTCAAGAGCGCCTTGCTCGGTAACTGATCGCATTTTGACCCATGATGCTTCTTGTCGCTCGTTCGTGAGGTACTAGCAAAGTGTGAGTGTTTTTTTCTGGAAATATCGGGACAGAGAATTCCGGCGTTGCCTCATTACCTCTTCTCCTGTAGCGTGGTTCACTCTGGTGATGGTACTCTTCTTCCTGTCTGCGCCACGACCCTTGCCAAAGCGATCGTTCATCAGGGCGTTGCCCAACCCTGCGGTCTTCTTGGATTTGGCGTGCACCATTTTCGCGGTGATCTATCGTCTCTCGCTACCTTGGAAAATAGGGTGAAAAATGCGCAGTGGAAAGAAACGAGTCCCAAAGCTGCTGTGTGAATCAGAATGAGTAATAGTGGGAGCCGTCGCAAGTGCCCGCCTTGAAGAGAATAGCAGTGCCCCGCGACGATTAATCAGCGGGGCAAAAAAGTGATTTTGGGCGTTTATCGATAAGAGTTTTTTTTTCGCGACCGCGGGGCTCCCATCTGTGCGTCCCACTGAATCTCTCCCTCTTGCGCACCCAAGAACGGTCAATTCGACAAGCCCGGTATACTATTGCGCAAAACACCCCAAAGTAGACAAAATGGCGAAGGGAAAGAAATTGTAAGTTTATGTGTATTCTTATGGTGTGGTAGCTGACATTTCTTTCCAGCGACAAGAAGAGTGCGCAGCACTTCACCCTCGTCCACCGACCGCAAAATGACCCCCTCATCCACGACGAAAATGCGCCCTCGATGGTGCTCAACCCGGTGCCTCAGAAGGGTGGACCGTCGAAGAGCAAGCATCTGAGCGACCTTGCGTCTGAGTTCGGATCAGAAGCTGGAAGCATACGCGCAAACGAAGGAGAGGCGGCAGAATACGGCGTTTACTTTGATGACACTGAGTACGACTACATGCAGCATCTGCGCGGCTTGAACTCGGGGAGTGGTGAGGCCGTCTGGGTCGAGGCCTCTGGTGCGGCAAACAACGACAGGAAGGGAAAGCAGGCGCAATCACTTGAAGATGCACTGCGCCAGATGGATCTGGAGCACAAGAGCGAAGATCTGCTGGATCCCTCAGTCCTCCCCAACAGAAACCTGCCACGAACCAACTATGAGACACAGGTGGATATCCCCGATGCGATCGCTGGTTTTCAGCCCGATATGGACCCCCGCTTGAGGGAAGTGTTGGAGGCATTGGAGGACGACGCATATGTGGATGACGACGACGACATTTTCAAAGAGCTCTCCAAGGACTCACGTGAAGTCGATCAGTACGAATTCGAGGATCAATACGGCTACGACGACGAAGATGAGGGCTGGGAATCAGACGACACCGCAAAGCCGAACAAGGAGTACAAGGACGGAGCAGTGCCGCAGCTGGTCCCTGTTGAGGGGGAGGCATTACCAGAACACCAGAACGAAGACTGGATGGAGGACTTTAAGCAGTTCAAGAAAGACCAAAAGGGCGGCAAGGTCCAGCCGGCCAAAGATACGCCGTCCGAGTTGCAGTCCTCCATTTGGACCACGACAACGATGGGTGGCCGGAAGAAGAAGAGAAAGGGTGCATTGACCAACCCCTCTGCCTTCTCCATGACCTCGTCAGCCATGGTCAGGACGGAGCAACTCACCCTTCTGGATGCCAGATTCGACAAGATTGAGGAGGAGTACACAAATGAGATGGGCGACGATATGGCATCTGTCTCAGAAGTATCAACGGCAACCAGTGTGACCGGACCCACCAGAGGCGACTTTGACAGTATCATGGATGATTTCCTGGGCAGCTACACCAAGCCTGGAAAACGCACAAACAAGAAGAACCGGCCGCAGACTGGTCTTGAGCAACTGGACGAGATCAGGCAGGGTCTTGGCCCAGCTCGGTTCCGTTCACTAAACACCAAGAGGGTTTAGGTCTGTTTGCGCCTAGATATAGAAGCATTCGGCGCAGCCTAGATTCCGGTCATCGAGATACCTTCACTGAGCGCCAGGTTGCATGAGATCTGCGCCCCATAGTGTTATGATAAACAAGTTGATGTTATATGAACCACCGTTTCCTTAAACATGATTTGGGATTTACCACATGCTGAATTCCTGGAGTCTCTAGATTAATGATGTTGTGTTCAGTGATTCACATTTGTTGCTTCCATCAACGGAATAATTCTTTGTCGCTAGAGAGATTTGTCGATACTTCCCTTGTGGAAGGAACACCCGAAAGTGTCTGTGAAGAATGTTCCTGCCGTTAGAGAACCCTGAGAGGTTCAACGCAAACAAAGAGGGCGTGCCTTTATCTCTCACACACCCCTCACTCAGTGGAATGCAGCTGTGGGCCATAGCTTTGCTGGCTTTAAACGCCGCTAAACGCGATACGCGCCGAAAAAAACGCGGCAAACGCAGACCAGCTCCATCCTAGTTCTCCACTTGGTTCTTGTCTGCCTCGTAGTTTCCTTCTTGGAGTTTCCTTTCGCGAACCCGACATGACGTCGGTTTCTTTCCCTCCCAGCAGACCCGACAGGAAGCTATCGCCATTCGGAGGCACATTGACCGGTGGCTTTGGAAGTCAGCCTGACGCGAGCAAAAACGTTTTCGGCCTCAATGGGGCGGGTGCCGGCGGTGGGCAGCGGTCGACACGCAACTTGAATAACCAGCCTCCCGATATGACGACTCCTGCGACAAAGCGGAAGGGCGTCAACCCGTTCGATGGCGCCAGCTCAGACGATAATCGACGACGAAAAAACACGAAGGGAGATTCACAAGGCGACTGGAAGAAGAAGGGTCCCAAGTCGCAAGGCGCGAAGCCAAATGGCGCGAAGGCGCCGAAAGGGTTTGGAACCGCCCAGTCGCGCGGTGGTTTCGGCACCCAAAACAACAACAATCACAGCTCGGGATCTACCGACTACGAAACGGACGACGCGAACGGCGAATTGAATGGTGACGGCACTGCGTACTCCGACAAAATCTTCTCGCAACTACGACAGGATGGAATCGCACCACCAAAATGGCCGTCCGATCCAGGAAATACGTCGTCCAAGGCCGCGATGGCCAAGTTCAGGGAAGAATACAAAACATATCGCGATCGGGCTAGGACGTCACTGATGCGCGCCGGCTTGATTGACGACCCCGATAAGCCGAAGCGGTTAGAAGACGCGATTGACTTCAAAGGCATCTGCGACGCGATGTGCCCCGACTTCGAGAAGATTACTCGCATCACCGAATTCGACGTTCAGTCCGCCGAAAAGGACCCCCGAACGACTTTTGCCAATACATCAAAGATGGTTAAGAAGCTGGCGCGTTCCGCAGCTGGCCAGGAGGCTCCGCTACCAATGGACGTCAGATCCACAGCCGCCCTCAGAAGGACGCTCGACTACCTCATCGACGACCTCTTACCGATCGACGACAAGCTACCCTCTTCGCATGGTTTTCTGTGGGATAGAACACGTGCGATTCGCAGGGACTTCATCTTTCATTCGACAATGTCTCCCGAGGAGATGAAGGACCAGGTTTACTGTCTCGAGACAATTGCCAGGTTTCACGTTACAGCTTTACATTTGCTTTCTCAGGAAGGATTTGCGCCAGAAGACTTCTCTGAACAACAAGAAATTGAGCAACTGGGGAAGGCATTGCTTTCGCTTATGTTTGCTTACGACGATTGCAAGCCGCAAGGCGTTGTTTGCGAAAACGAGGCCGAGTTCAGGGCGTATCATTTGCTTTTCAGCGCAAATACTCCCAATATCCTCGATAATGTGCAAAAGGAATGGGGAGACTCTCGCTTCTGGACCGAATCCGATACCATCAGAACAGCTGTCTCACTTGTCGAGAGTCTGCAGAGCGCAGAGGACTTCCACGGCCCCTTGGGCTCGGGCCCGTCCATGGCAACATCGGGTGCACACCTCACTTACTTTAGAATCCTCCAAAGCCGAGAAGTGTCTTATACAATGGCATGTTTTGCGGAGATTCACTTAGGTCAGCTGCGCCGCTCAGTTCTTCGCTCTTTGAAGAAGGCGTACACCAGACCGCGACACGGGGCGAAAGATATTACGCCCTCTTCGTTAAACCGATTTCTTCACTTCGACACAGAAAACCAGGCGATTGAGTTTGTCGAGCAGCATGGTCTCAGCTTCTCAAATGGACAAGGACCAGCGGGCGAACCCATACGATATCTGGATACCTCACAACGCATGACATGGCCGAGAATCCATCACAGTTTCTCTCAGAGACTGGTTGAGAGAAAACGAGGCTCCCGTAGTCTTCCTGAGATCATCCACCGCACAATTGCCGACGAATCCACGGGCGCTGGCCAGCAGGCTCCTACAGGATTTTCGACGGGGCCAGCTTCATTCAAGCCGCCTCCACAGCAGGCTCCTTTTGGAAGCCACTCAACAACGAACGCAGACTCTCCTTTTTTCAAGTTGCCTTCTTCGGCACCCCAAGGAGGCACCTCGACGGGACTCACGGGTACGCCGTCTTTCGACAAAGGTAAAGAATCTTCCATACACTACCCATGTCGTTGTAGCCTCTTGCCTACCAGCACCGTTGTCGACGTCAAATTCATTGCGACTCTCCTCCGCCGGACCATTTCTCTTCAGTCAAGATCGAACGTCACAGTGCCAGATTTCAGACGTGGCAATACTTGGTGCGGCTGATCAACTAGCAGCCGTTTCAGAGGTTGAGAAGCGCTCAAACAGTCATCGCAATCAGGACGAGATGACTAGCAATGAATTGTCAATGGCACAAAAAGAAGAGGGTAGGCATAGCCAAGCCGGATATCTGCTAACATTGTGTCCCACAGCAACTGAAGGCCACAAGCCTACCTCGACGAAATCCAGCCCATTTGGAAACCCTTTCTCAACAGCTCCATCACCATTCACTGGTGCATCCTCTGGTCAACAAGGCGGCTCGGCCTCGTCATCGTCATCAACAGCAACGCCGGCTCTGAATCCCTTTGCCGCGAAGACAAGCCCTTTTAGCAAGCCAAACGCGGCCGCCGAGAGCGCGACGCCTAGTAGCAACCCTTTCGGGTTGTTAAATCAACCAAATGGCACTTCCCAGCCCAAAGCTCCGAGTATCCCGGCATTCTCTTCTCCGGCCTTCGGCAGCGGCGCACAACCCAAAGCACAGGAGCAAGCGCAGCCAGCTACCTCGACAGATGGCTCTCCGGCCATCACCGTCACTCCGCCCACACCAAAGTTCCCATTGCCAACGTCAGCGACAGCCGCAGAGTCGTCAACGCCTTTCAAATTCTCATCAAATACTGGCGTGCAGTCCGCGACTCCGAACGCTCCTAGCAGCCCTTTCCAGCCAACTCCGAAATCATCTGCGACACCGCAGCTACCCTCCTTCTCGGCAGGCGCGGCAGCTCCCGCTCAGCCGGCAAAGCCTCTTACAACATTTCAACCTCCACCGAATCAGCCTCCCAGCCTTGCTCCTACTACGGCAGCTCCATCCGTTCTCTCCGGGTCCGGGCAATCCCCATTACCTTCCTTCAACTTCCAAGGGGGTAGTTCGGAAGCCGTAAAGCCAGCGTCCTCGCCTCAGCAGAGCTTCCCTCCAGCTGTCGCCTCGCCCGTACCAACTGCAGCTTCGCCACTTGCCCAGGCAAAACCCCCTCAAGCTCCGTCTGTGAAACAGCGGTCCAAGCAAGATGTCATGGCCGACTTCGCGAAATGGTTCGTCACAGGTGACAACGGGCTGATACAAGAGTTCGAGAAGTACATGGTTGAACAGCTCGTCTCGGCCGCTTTTGAACAGCATCACAGGGAGGAAGAGGAAAGGAAACGAAGGGAGGAGGAAGAGAGAGATCTGGCAGAGGCACGGAAGTTCCAGGTCTACAACCTTTCCGTCAAGTACTTCTATCGATGGAGGGAAATCGCCAGAAACCTTCGCCTCACCAAGCTTCGCAGACAAGAAAGGGAGGACTACCGAAGGGCTCAGCGGGAACAACGGGAGGAAGAGATCAGGCAGAGGAAGAAGGCGGCTAAAGTTGCCGAGGCGAAGAAAAAGGCCATGGAGAGGAACGGTTTCGACCCTGTGGAGGAATTCAGAGAGCTCCTTCAGCTCAGAAAAGACGGCACACAAGCCGACTTGCAAGCCGAAGCAGAGGCTTTGCTAGCGACCGGCATTCTGTCAGGCGTCTCGGACGAACAGGTTGCAGCCGCCAATGTCATCCGGGCCCCAGCGACGATAGAAACACTTGCGACGAACACGCCTTTACCTCGATCTCGCTCGTCAACAGCCTTATCGCAGTCGACTACGGGTGCTAAGCCCCGCGGCGCGAAAACGCGGGCCATACGGGAAGAGTTTGGCAAGAGCGCTACCAATTTCCGACGATCACTGCCTCCCATGTCAGCACACTCCTCATCATCACGAATGTCTTCAGAGCCGCAGAAGCGCGTTAGCAAAGTGTCTGATCGCTGGCGTCTGAAGGCGATGGGCCTCGTCACGATGCCCGACGGAACAGCGCTACCGGAGACCATCGCAAACGAGATGCGGTACAATGGGAAACGATATGCAGGGCTCGGGTCATTCGGCTTGGACGGCACCGAGCGACGCCGGAGCGTCTCTGCGGATCTCAACCACGCAGCCGAGGCCCGATTACGCTTTTCGCAGTCGCTCAACGGTGGCAGTGGCAGTAGCAGTGGCAGCGCTGCCGCCGTGCCGCAGGTCAACGGGATCTCACCGCTTAGTAAGAGGAAACGGGCTCTCGATGACGACGACAACGAGATTGCTGTCGCGGACGAAGCCGTCACACGCGTCAAGAAGCGGCCATCGAGCAATGCGGAAATTGATAGAATACTTCGGGAGGCGAGGGAGAATCTGGAATCTTTGAGGAGTTCGAGGATCGAGCTTGACGAAGGGGCAGATTGGTTCAGGGAACAGAACGAGATGATGCACGCGGAGGAGGCGAGCAGGGCTAGCTCGCCGTGGGGGAAAGGCGGTCATCGGTGAAAGGGACGGGGGGACGGGGTTACGTACGATATGCATCAGCATTGGCGTTTTCAATGGTTTAGTTTCTTGGGCGTGGAGTATGAAGGTCAACTCTTTTTTTTCTCCTATAAGTAGTTCTCGTCTTTGTAAAGGTACACAAAAAAACAACACGGGCTACGAATACCCATAGAAGAGACATGTTTGGATTGTTACGTTTTCGCATAGATGAGATGTGCATGCATGGCCACGAGTGATTTTATGAAGTGAAGTTGAGAGATGCATGTGTGGGATTGGTATTATTGTCTGGTATTGGGTATAATAACCCCGTGTGATCCAGTGCCCTCTTACTACGTCATCTTATAGATGTACTCCTAAACGCCACTCGCTACCGACCGTGACTTTAAACAAATGAAACCATAGGGGGGACCCCTTGGACAGCTTGAAAACACGACAACTATCTCTTCTTGTGCGGCGGCGGCGGCGGAAACGCCACCTGGATCTTATAGCTCTCCACGGGGCTGCCTCCCAACGAGGTAACCCTCTTCGGCAACGGCCGCGCCAGATCCCGCACGATGCCGGGGATGGTCTTGGACGCGTCCGATACCAACGGAGGCGGCGAGGACTCGGTGTGGATGTGCCGATTATGCGCAGGCGCGGGCGCGGGCCAGCCGGCCTGGCTTAGCAAGGGGCTCGCCGTCGTTCCCGAGGTCGGGGAGGCGTAGGTGGTGGACGGGCTAAAGCTCGCCGCCGCGTTGCCCATTGACGGGGTCGAGAAGCCGTGCTCCGAGGGGACGTAGGGTCTGAAGGAGAGGAGGGGCGCGGCGGAGGTGGTTGATGTTGGGGTGGCGTACTCGTCTTGCGGGGAGGCCATGTTGTATTTTGGGGAGTGTGCTTTTACGGGGATGATGGGGAGGCTTGTGGTGATGTTTGCGAGGGCGAAGGGTTCCTTTTGCGAGGGCTTCTTGTCGGTGTAGGGGATGTGGTCTGCGGCTGTGAAAGAGGTGATGGAGTTGTGTGGCATCCAGAGACTGGGTTTTGATACGGGACTAGGGGCCATGCCTTGCTGTTGTTGCTGATGCATGGTCTCGTAGTAATGCTTTTCGTTTTGCGCCTCTTCCTCCTCGACGGAGAAGAAGTTTGGTTCCTTTGGTGTGAGATGCGTCTGGCAGCGGAAGGAGAGAGATGAGGCTGGGCGGTGGCCCTTTGCGCGGCGAGAGAGCTCTGGGTTGATGCCGCGGCCTTGTCTACGTGCCCTGCGCTTACGGCACTGGATGAAGGTGCAGCCGGCAGCTAGGAGGAGTGCCACGATGGCTCCTATTACGATGCCCACAATGGCCGTCATTGGCAGGGTGGGAGTTTGAGCTTTGTCGGCATCTGCTGCATCCTTTGGGTCGACGACGGTGATGATGCCCTTTGTGAAGACGGTGTCGTTGAGGCCGACTAGTGTGCCTGGGCTTGGTCTTTGCTGGCAGCCTGCTCCAAGGGCAACGAGATCTATGCAGTATGTTAGTGATATGCCTGCGGGGATGATGTTGACCAAGATGTTACATACAGTTTGAGAGATAGTAGTGTTCACCACCTGCTCTTACACACGACAGGCACTTGTCGTAAGCTGAACCTAGCATGGCACCGCCATCCGCATCGCAATATGCGTACTGCGATGATTTTGTTGGGTCCAATTCGCCGTCTGTGAGAGCAGCCTCTAACGCGCCACACGCCGTAGACGTCTGGCAGGGGTTGGAGCCTACGCCGGTGGCATTGGGGTACCCAAAGATGCAGTAGTCGAAAGAGTACCTCATGTTGTCTGTTGGTGTTGGTCAGCACCTCTGGCTCTCTCAAGTGTGATTGCTGTAAGACTTACACAAAAACCAGTCTTGGTCGTTCTCACTGCCCTGAACAAAGGTGCTGTCCTGAAGACAGCTCAAACACTGCTGGTATTTCTGTCCGGCGGCCCCTGTCTTGTAATCCTCGTCCACACAAGTAATGTCCTTGCCCTTGGTGTTGGACGAGTTGGGGTCCGAGGCATCGAGGCTGTTGGAGTCCAGACAGAAGGATGCACATGGCGAATTGGGCGTAACTTGGAGTGCTGATACACAGGCCGGTACGATTGTGGTGAGGAGAAGGAGGGCGGATCGAGCGGCCATTGTGAGCTGCGGCCGGGTTGACAGGGATTAAGGAGTGTAGTCGAAGTAGAGCAGAGCAAAGACTCCAGAGCCTTGCAAACTGTAATTAGGTTAAAGATAGTAGAATAGAGGAGTTGATATCTCGAGAGATGGGTATTAGATATCGCCCAAACAAGCCAAGAACACAAACGAAACAATTGCACACACAAACAGACGGAATAAGCTCAGCGAGACAGAAACTGCTTCTAAAGTCAAGGTGGGAGAGCAAGGTGATATATCTCGCAGAAGATGCCGATCCCATCTCCACCATTCACTCGAGCAGGGGGCGGGGGGGCCATCTGCAGCTGCAGGAACAGGATGGTCTGGAATGGTAAGGTGATGGTCTGGAGTCACCTGCAGCTCGCAGGGCTCATAAGAAAGGATCCCGAATGTTTGGGGAAAGATACACAGTAAGAGATACGGCGTAGCAAGCATTTGGCAAACGCAGCCAGATAGGGTAGAGAGCGGCGTCCCAAGCCGGAGACGGGCCCGTCGTCCTGCCGCCCATCTGCTCGGCCACAGTTCGAGATGGGTGTCGGCTTCGGCAGAGGGTGTGGTGATGTCGGATTGAGGCGGCCAATAATAGGCCTGCACAGGTTCCCGAGAATTACGGTTATGAAGTGATGGAGGGGGCGGGGAGTTAGGTGGGCACTCAGGACTCGAGCAATCGTACAGAACTGGGCTCCATAGACGCCGTTTCCCGACACCTTGAGAGTATCGTCTTGCCGTTGGGAAAGCTCGTCAGGTGAACAGGCGATGGGGAAGACGGTAGAGCGCTAAAGACTTCCCAGCACTTGCAGGACGGTGTGCGGCGCGACACCTCAGGGCGGCAGCTTGTTGGTCCGCCGCGATGTGTATTCGGTTAGCGGCCGCTGGACGATGCACATCTCTCCATCTGCCCCCAATATGGTGGTGCAAGCGATCGATAGTGTGGTTTTCCCCTTAACGATTTTGCGCGTATGTGTGCCCGCGTGTGCCCGCGAGTGTGCTTGTGCCTGTGCCTGGCGTTGGTGGGATGCATGGTGCAATGTTAGTGATGATGGCGGGCGGCTGCGAGATGCACCCATGGATGACAAGGGCCATGGGAGTTGGGGGCAGGAATGGGAGGAATCGTTGTGCCAATGGGAACACGGCGTTTGGCGATGGATCTGGTTGGTCAGGTCTGTTCTGTTGGAATGTTGGCGTCTTACCACGAAAGTGTGAGTGACAGTCAGCGAAGCCCGGCGCTTACAACTGGCAGTGGCATTTGGTTCCTGTCTAGGTTGCCTGCCACGCCTGTCTCCCACTGTTGGTTCCCTTTGGCTCCTTCCATCGGGGCATTTACATTCTCCACTAAAAGCCGTGAGCTCGGCCCAGCCGGTTCCACAGCGGGACCCAAGTGGACAAAGTGGGGTCCGGCCAAGGTATCGCGGTACTTGGCTTGTCGCTCGTTGGCGATCAGTTCTGGGTCTCGTCAATGCTCTTTCCCTTTTCTCTCATTCTCTTCTCCGTCACTTACGGAGGAAGCATCTCTCCCTTTTCCATCCTTGGCCCCGTCAGCCTTCAGCCACAATACACACCACCCCGGTCGCTTTTCCAATCTCAATGCCTTTACGGAAACCATCCAAATCCCGGCCTGTCTATGTTGAGAGTTCCCTTTTTGGTTGACAACCCTTTTACCAGACGTCTGCTATTAGGGGGGTTGTTAAGCATGCCGCACCCAATTCCGCATGGGTTCCCTGCTGGCATGAGCTTCTTTTCCTCGGACTCCCTTTACACCCCTGGCAAAACTCTGTTGTCACCTTGTCTGTCTGCTGGTCTTGTCTTACTGAGCCGAACTTTTTTTTTAACCTCTGAAAGCTTGTCACTTTTGCATCACTGAGGTGTTCGAGTGTTCTTCTGAATACGGATTCATGGGAGTTCGTGATTCGTATATCTCACCAAAACTAGAAACTAAAAGGAAAACCCAATATCTTGTATTCTCGCCTTCGATTCCGATTCACCCGTCATCGTGCGACGTTGCTTCCGTCCATTCCGACTACCTGGGTGTGGTGTAACACCCTTTGTCTTGTTCTCTCTCTCATGCGTGTCTCTCTCTTCTCTCGTTTGTCTCATAAAACGGGTGTGTGTTCAAAGCTCCAGTCGCTATGTTGATGTGATCCAAACGCCCGCAGATGAGAAGAAACGCGCCCCAAAAACAAAAATCCAAACCCGGATTAGACTTCCGGCTGTGCATGCATTCTTGCACTCCCTCTCTTGCATCGCTGAAATATGTCCAAACGCTTTTTTCGTTGCCGGCTTTTGATCCCTGAACGAACCAGAACCGGCATGCATCAAATATGATTACTGTTGTCATTAATCGCCTCCCTCTCAGTCTCTCTCTTTCTCTTTCCATCTCTTTTGTTTCATGCCTTCTTAACTGATGATGACATCTCTGCCGGTAACCGAATAGCTCGTCTGATACATGCACCGCTGAGGCGAAGTCTCGGGACAGTTGCCGTGAAACAGCATCTGCCCGCCCCCAGCAACGCTCGTCGCGCCGCCGGGCGCCGTGAGGTTGAAGTCGCCCGTCTTAAGCAGCATCCTCGACGGTCGCTGATAGGGGCCCTTGATGTTCCTGCTCGTCGCGTAGTTGACGTTGTAATTGTTCGAGTTGAAGCAGAAGCTGCTGAAGAACAAAATATACAGCCCGTCCTCGGTGCGCACCAGGTCCGGCGCCTCCACCAGGGGTCCGTCGGCCGCCGTCCGGCTGAGGATCTGCACCGGGTCGCCGACTTTGCTGATGCCGTCCGCTTCTACCTCCTGGAGCATGATGGGCGTGTCCACGAGCGGCTCGACGCCGTTGTTGCAGTCGCCTCCGTTGCCGACGTTGTTGCCGTC